TTCAATCATGGTCACAAAATGTTTCTTTGAGATCTTGATACATTTTATTGCTCCTCAGGTGAATAGTATAGCCATATAAATGTGCTTCTTCTAGAATTCTTATCTCAAATCATCAACATTTGGAACATAAACCGGTTTTTATATCTCAATAGATAAATATGATCTAACATATACCTCTCCAACCTGTATGTCCTAACCTGTTTTAAGATTTTTCTGAATACTGTTATCTCTGGTTAAAGAATCTAAAATTTTACTCTTCAAAATTGAGTGCATCATCAACTGATAAAGTTGAACCATACTATTATTATCATAATTAATTATAGATAGCTTCAACTTTTCCGGATCTTGAAGTAATTGCTCCTCTTGAGTAAAAAAATAATTCAAATTACCTGAACTTTCTTATTCAACACATCTGCCACAACATTCGCTTTTCCTGGATGATACTTAATATCTAAATCATAGTCTTTAATAAATTTCAGTCTTCTCATCTGCCTCATGTTCAGCTCCGTCTGAGTAAACATATACTTCAAACTCTATTAATTAGTAAAAAGTTCGCATCTAACTCCGTACAAATGGTGCATACATATCTTGTGTGTAAATACAACTGCCTCAAGCTCCAAATCATGTGTGAGATAGTTCTTTTCATGATTTTTCAATTGTCGTTATGCATATGCAATAACTCTTCCATGCTGCATAATTACAAAACCTAAACCGCTTAAACATGCATCATTGTAAATCTAAAACTCGTTAGAATTTGAAGAAATGACTAAAACTGGAGTAGACATCAAGCAAGTTTTCGACTTCTGAGAGGCCTCTACACAACTATTTGACCATTCAAACTTTATTGTCTTCTGGGTCAACCTTGATGGTGACATAGCAAGCTGCGAGAACCCTTTTACAAATCTTTTGTAATAACCAGTCATATCTAGAAAACTTGTGACCTCGGTGACAGTACTAAGTGTTGGCCAATCTGCAATCACCTTGACCTTATGCTGATTCGAAGATATGCCGATTCCGCGGATAAGTGCCCAAGAAAAGCCACATTTTTAAGCTAAAATTCACATCTAAAAATTTTGGCGTAAAGTATGTTCTCATTCAGAACCTGTAGCACATGTAAATGATCAAAATGACTATTGTCATCCATCAAATGCACCAAAATATTATATATAAAGATGATGATCACGAAAGTATTTAAAAACTGTCTGAAGATTATGTTCAAGAGGTCTATGAAAACTGCTAGAGCATTTGTCAATCCAAACGACATCACTACGAATTCATAATGCCCATATCTGGCCCCAAAAGCGTTTTTTGTTGTCTTCTTTTATAATCCTCAACAGATGATAGTCTGACCTCAGATCAATCTTTGAAAATATAAATGTCCCTTTCAACAAATCAAACTAGTCATCATCAGTAGTGTATACTTGTTTTTAACTGTGATCTTATTTTACTTTCAGTAGTCGATGCACATCCTGAAGCTTTCATGTTTTTTCTTCACAAATAATAATGGATCTCCCCAAGGTGAGGTGCTATGTTTGACAATTTTTTTAATATTAATTTGTTAGTGATAGAAATAGGATAGCAAAGAATTGATTTTCACCGTCCAATCGTTCGTTCCCATCCTAGTTAATTTCAAACCCTGGGCCTTGGTGACTGAAGGGTGGGGGTCGGTGACCTTATGATTTGCTCAAGTGAATTTGGCTACTTTGTCCCTATGGAACTTGTTTTCTTCGGTTGAGTTGTTAATAGGCTCATAAATGTCTTTAGCCTTTTTGGATGCTAACCAGTGACAAATTGATGGGGCAGCTTGCCAAAAGAGTGAACTCTTAATTGTGGGTGGGGAGGGGGGGATTACTTACATCATCGCATCCTTGAATGAAGAGTAGTGCTCTACTCGATTGGTCATCTTTTTGGTCGAAAGATGAAGGCTTGTAATGCAGAGGAACTTGTTCGTTTAGGATTTCTACGTAAGTGTTTAAGAGAACAGAGAGATGACAACAAGCTTCGAGCATAGATTGATAAAGATAACCAACACTGATGCCGGTGGAAGATTAAATCACCACGAAAAAGTACAGTTATTATTACTAAATTCAAAAGTGTTATAAACATGACTCTTGCGAACATGAAATAAACAACAAACATAAAATACACCCTGGGGCAATAGCATAGAATGGAGGGAGGCGGCTGGCCAACAGGTAGATGACGGGCTTGGTGAATGCGAGAATAGTGGAATGGGTTTGAAGGGAATCATCATTGATTGTATCTGGTGGATTGGGCTGCAACAGCTGTTGGAGGGGTGGGTATGGGCTGCTGTAGTGACTGGAAGGGTTAGAAGCGGGTGACAACAATACTGATTTAAGTGGGAGATGCATGATGGTCTGTCTGGTAGGTGGAGTAGGTCGGTGGCCTTATGGAGTAGAGCTGGAGAGATGACGGGCTGCTGGAAGGTGGTAGGAAGGGGTGACTAGCAGCAGGAAGGGGCAGCAAGGGGCCTATATGGCTGCTGGGAGGTGGCTGGAGGTTTGGGTGGCAACTTGGATGGTCCTAGAGGCTTGTGTGGTTTCTTACGGCTGCTGGAAGGGGGCTGGAGGCCTTGACGACAACATAGAAGATAGTTTGTGGCTGTTGGAAGCGGGGAGGGGCTATTGAAGGATAAATGTCTCATTGACGTTGAGCTATAGCAGGAGCACCACCTGGACCCTAGGAGATGGTCACCACCACAGACGAGTTGTTGTCAAAGCACCTTCTTGTGATTGGGTACAAGCCCCAGAAGGGAAGAACACCTCAAATAAAACAAATGAAAAAATGAAATCAGCAATCATCAAAAACCTCCGCACTCTAGGCGAACACAACATAATATAAAGGATCCTATCATAAAGAATTATGAAGGAATTTGAACTCTGGAATTGGATAGAAATAGAAATAGGAATGGGGATAGAAAAGGCAAGTAATAGAATAGAAAGGAATTGAAATTTGGATAGAAATAGGAAAGGGGAGTGTGGGAAGGGTTGGACCGCAATACTGTAGCAACTATAGTCGTGAAATCCCGTTTCCGTTACAGGGGAGATGAAATGAAAAGCTGAAGAAAATGATGTGAGGAGTTGGGCCGTCGAATAAAAGGGTTAGGAAGCGAGGGGCCGAGAAAAGGAAGAGGGGAATTCACTCTCTAAATCGAGTGTGAGACGGGAGCTCTCGGGCATGCGGTTAGGAAGCAGAAGAAGGAAGGAGAGGTGTTGAGAGTTCTTCTTACCCAAGGATACAACATCGTGCGCTGTACTGGAAGGAAGACAAAGATCGCCGCTGCGTTGAGCGGCGTGTGAAGGAGAGGTGGACGATGTAGGAATGAGCCGAAGCATTGGTCACGTGTACTTGGAGCCTTAAGAAGAAGAACGAGGGGGAGGAGGTGACAACGGGAGAATAAGAGGACGCTGCATCTTGCGAGCGGAGGAAGCCTTCGCACAGTATAAGGCTCGACCAAGGCTTTCGATTTTAGAAGAATCGACATCAAGACAAATAGAAAAGTAATTGACATGGAAGTGGATACTCCTCTTAAATTACAGCATGCTTTTAGTCTCTTTTAAAACCAATGGTATGAATTGTTATCCTGTTTGATTAATGCAATTGATTTTTTTATTATTAAATTTTTTCGATTATTTCGATGCAGAATGCTTATAGTCTTATATTATTAAATAATTGATGCATTATAACATTACATGCTGAGTGATATAAAATTGTGAATGATATAATTTATATAGAGTGACTTTATGTGTACATCTGAGTATGATGAAATCACCTTTTGATGATACTAGTGGGGGAACACTATTATACTCGTGCACGTTTATGAAAAAAAAAAGGATATTGATGCGTCTTAATTTATAATTTTTTAGACGTTGCTTCTTTGACGATTGTACAAATACATAATGATATGGATATGCTATCGATATAGTAAGGTTCTTTGAATAACATTGAATATTTTTATTGATTTATTAAAAGCTTGACTGACATGCTTCATTTTCTCTTATATTACTGTAGTTTATGGAGTATGAGTATTCATTGACTGATTTTGTTCATAGTTGTTTTAAACAAACTTTTTAGGTTAATTAAGTGATTAATGATGAGTGTTAGAAGAGAAAACATCTATAGAAGATGCAGACAACCAATAAAGAGTTAAACTTAATTTTACTGGCTCTTTTATTTTGTTAATTACTAGTCTTTTATCCTAATTAGTGGCTCTTTTATTTTGTTAATTACTAGTCAGAAATTGGACATCGAAAATTTATTTCATATTGTCCTACCGTATGTTTTTGCCTTGGTTGATTCCAAGCCTCAGGCCAGGTCATGACAACAGTACCACGTCCGCGGCACGGTAGCAGCTACAGTACCGCAACCCGGTAAGCTTTCGCGTTAAACACATATTATCGAGGCTTTTTATCACAGTTGTCGGTCACATGTATCACATTTTGGTTTGCACCTGCGGCTTCTAGTGAGGTATTCTTAGATGGTGTGGCTGGCGGGTTCCTGAAGTGTGGATGGCTGAGCATGGGCTGCTGGCACAAGCTTGGTAGTCTGGACGAGATGTATAGCCACCAATTGTAGGATTTCATTTGCAGTAAATCTATATCCTTTTGATGATATCAAATTACAAAAGAAAATTTTATGATTTAGAGGATGAAGGATGGGGGCTTGAACTTATCCTAGGAAATTGCCAATTAATCTATCAACGGATTGCAAATTATGGCTTTGATTTTGAGGATATAAAATTATATTTCAAAATCCATGAATTATAATTTTGACTGGAGACCTAGAAAATGATCAATGACCGCAGAAAACCTTCATTTAATGACTTGTTAATGATTCTGCAGGCATTATCAAGTACGAAGCTAAATAACTGAATAGGTCATTTATGCGGATTATTAAGAAGCAAGTTACCAATGTTGGACTTGAAGTTAGAATAATAGTTTAACATGCCAAGTAATTCTGTTAATTTTACTTTTCAACTGCAGATGTCTTTCTTCAAGCAGTTTTATGGCTCTTTTACTAAATCAGATTACAAAGCACTGCGAGCAGGATTTATCATGGTAAGTCGAGAAAAAATTGCATTTTTTCCTCTCTCCCTCCATTCTTTCATTTTATATATATTTCACCCGTTTGTTTTGTTTATAATTTCAGAGGCACTGCCCCACACATTCTAAATTTAATTTTCACAAGTATATGATGCGTGCTCTTGAGGATGACTTCAAGAAAGTAGTTGGTATAAGGTAAATGGGCACCTTGCTTAGCCTATGTGTTATTCTTTGATCCATGAATTAGTGATAATTGTAAACATCCTTTTCTATCTGCAGCTGGTATCTTTGGCTCTTTGTCATTATTTTCTTGTTAATCAACATTCATGGTATGTAGCCATCAGTCATTTGTGTTCTCCGCTGTCTATTGAGTATGCTTTCGAATTAAAAATGTGATTGAGCTGACGACCTAGCAAATTCTTCGCTTTCTAGAAGTAGTTTCAGGTTTGGATGGGAAAGCAGAATCTGCTGGCTTTTTGTTATTTTCTTTCTTTTCATTTTTATTTATATAAAGAATGCAAATGAGCAGAAACATATATTCTGAGTCTAACTTCTTTTCCCTTGTTCAATATCTGTTATGTGCTTTCTATCTAATTGGAGATCATAACGAACTTGCACAGCATTTGTACATCTTTAAATGAACAAAAAAGGCCATTACTTCGTGATTCACTTGTACCATAATTCTTTCTTTTACCCAAAACAATAATTCAATGAATACTTAAATTGATATGATACAGTTAGGACGAAGATCTGAGTTTTGCATAACTCTGCTTTTTATTTCTAAAACAAGGATGAGAAGGCATGTCACTTGTATACCTAATGTTACGAAATACGGGAGATGAACAAAAACAAAATAATAATAATAATAATAATAAAAGGAGTAACACAGATTTTACGTGAAAAATCCAAGATGAAAAGATGCACGAGCAAAGGGAAGAAGTTACTATATTATGCGAGCAAGTTTCATGTGCTTAGTTTTCTCATGATACATCTAATTTTATTAGAAAACTAAGATGATTAACAATTTATTCTGGAAGTTAAATTTAACTTATGTTAATGAGCTTAGTTTTCTCATGATACATCTAATTTTTAGTGAGAAGATAACACTTAAATTATCACACATCACGGTGGTAATAGTTAAATTTTCACTAAGTTTTCCAAATAAAATTTTTAGGCACATTTTTCTATACAAGTTGCAATAACTGTTATGTACTCAGTTTCAGTTATAAACAATGTTATTGTAGTTTGGATGATAGAGTTACAACTAATAGGACAACCACTAAAAATAAACACATATCTTGTGAGTGATCTTCTCCTATCAAGATCTTCAATAAAGTCTGATTCAACATAGTTGATTGCTCCATTTATTGTCTTCCTAATCTATAAACATGCATATTTAGTTCCACATAAGTATTTGACAATCCACTAAACCATTTTTTAATGCTCTTTTCTAGGATTAATCATTACATACTGATTGTACAGACTGTGCTGAGTGCACATGATAAATTTAAATGTGAGCTTATCGTAACATACATGAATAATCACACTTGAAGAGAATATAAAACTCGAGACATAAATTCAATTTCATCATTTGATGGTGGACATAAAACTGATAAGGGCCTGAAGTGCGTAGCTGATATAGTACTAATATGTTTGACATTTTGTATATTAAACTTGTGCAAAATTTTTTTTGAAGTAGTTGTACTGACTCATAAATTGTTTATCTTTCTATCTCTCTGAATCTCCATGTTATCAGCTCTCAAATCTTTCATCTCAAGCTCACTATTGAGTTGAGCATTTAACTTTGTAATTTCTCTTCTTTCCTTAGTAGTTATATGTGCTGAGTGCATATGATAAATTTAGATGTGAGCTTATCATAACATACATGAATAATCACACTTGAAGAGAATATAAAACTCGAGACATAAATTCAATTTCATCATTTGATGGTGGACATAAAACTGATGAGGGCCTGAAGTGCGTAGCTGATATAGTGCTAACATGTTTGACATTTTGTACATTAAACTTGTGCAAAATTTTTTTTGAAGTATTTGTTCCAACTCATAAATTGTTTATCTTTCTATCTCTCTGAATCTCCATGTTATCAGCTCTCAAATCTTTCATCTCAAGCTCTCTATTGGGTTGAGCATTTAACTTTGTAATTTCTCTTCTTTCCTTAGTAGTTATATGTGTTTCTTCAACATATTAAGAGCAAGTAGATGAAAGTTTTGTTATTATTTTTCTTGAAGTAAACACAATTATCATAGCTACTTTTTTTAAATTCATGAGCAATCATAAATGAGTCAAGTTTTTCATACCATTGTTTAGGACTTTGTTTCAAATCATAAAAAAATTTCTTTAACAAACATAGCCTTCTTTAGTTGTAATCGTGTAACCTTCAAGTGGCTGCACGTAAATTTTCTCCTTGAGCTCTCCATGCAAAAATATAATTTTTATATCTAATTGCTTAAGTTTGAGATTTTGTTTTTAACCTTAGTACCAAATAAAGTTTGGATTAAGCTATACTTAATTATTGGAGAGCACATCCATAGTCTACTAATGAAATTTAATTGAATCCCTTTGCAATTAATCTTGCCTTGTACCTAGCATCTTCATTTTGAAGCATAAATTTTTTTCTTAAATATTCATTTTCAATAGGCAGCTTCTTCCTTTAAGATAGCTTCACTAAATCCAAAGTATTTTCTTTTTGTAGAGATTCCATTTCCTTTTGTATGACAATCATCCATTTTTTTTACTGAACTTAATTAACTATTTTTGTATGGCTAGAGGATTTATTATCACCATCAATACATCCAGCCATTGTGTTAGGCATAAGCAATCAAATAAGCATCACCATCATTGTAGTGGCTTCATTTCTTCCCTTGGCTTATGCTTAGCAATGGAATATTATGATGGTTGTAGTGGTAGTGATCTGGAAGCACTACCTTTGCTTTCAAGACTTAATTGGAAGGTAGTTTATGTTGTAATATTTCAATTTGAATCCACCGATCTGCCAGATCTCTTTTCTCGTTCAACATCATTTGGTACTGTAGTAGGTGTTTTGTGTAACATGACAACTCATCAAACACAAAATGTGTACTAATAATCAATTTCTTGCTTTCATTCCATCATAATTTATAGCCTTTAACTGAGCCTTTTAACCAAGAAATATACACTTCATAGATCTAGGATTTAATTTCTTATTATCAACTTAAGCATAAGCAAGACTACAAAGGATTCTTAATTTAGAGTAATCTGGAGGTTTACTTCACCAAACATTCTATGGAATTTTTTTCGCCAATATAAATTGAAAGAGAGCGATTTAACAAGTAGCTGGTTGTGGAAGCAACTTCAGCCTAGAATGACTTGGGTAGCCAGACATTTGTGAGTATGCAACACACATTATCTTTTATTGTTCTATTTATTTTCTTCGTCACAACATTTTTTTGTGGAGTATGTCATATTATTAAGTCCCTCAACTTAAGCATAAGCAAGACTGCAAAAGATTCTTAATTTAGAGTAATCTGGAGGTTTACTTAACCAAACATTCTATGGAATTTTTTTCGCCAATATAAATTGAAAGAGAGCGATTTAACAAGTAGCTGGTTGTGGAAGCAACTTCAGCCTAGAATGACTTGGGTAGCCAGACATTTGTGAGTATGCAACACACATTATCTTTTATTGTTCTATTTATTTTCTTCGTCACAACATTTTTTTGTGGAGTATGTCATATTATTAAGTCCCTCAAAAGTTCTTCTGATTGACAAAAGAAATTAACTTCTTCTGAGTTCTAAGTCATTATGAGTGTGTAGATTTTTAATATGCCTTTCAGTTTGCTTTGTAATCATAATGTTCTATTCTTTAGAAGTAACAAGTAGATCACTCTTTTGTTTCAAGAAGAAGGCCCAAACTTTGCAAGAGAAATTGTCAATAATTGATAACATATATCTTACAACACCATTAGACATTATTGTGGATGATCCTTAGATGTTAGATTGAATGCCAAGTGTTCCCTTAGTAGTATGAATGTTTGTCTTGAACTTATCTCTCTTTTATTTTTCAATTGGAAAGTGCCCAAAAATCTCAATTAGTAATTTTGTGGCTATTAAGGAGTTATCTTCTGTTCAGTTCAGTCATACCATTTTCACTCGTGTGACCAAGACATAATGCCAAATTCTGGTTACTTTGTCACTTGTTATAAGAATTGTAACTGTTGTATTACTTGCAATTGTAAAACCTTACAAAATTTATAATCCACAGTTTGGTTTTGTCCCTTCATCTTAACAAGAGCATATTTACAAACTTTTAGAACTCCAAATTCACCAGTGTACTTTTTAAAGAAATTAAATTCATGGTTAGATTGGGGACATGTCTCACATTACCTAGTATCATGATAGTTCCATCAAACATCTTTACTATCATAATTCTAATATAGTTATCTCATAAGGAGCATTATTCCCATTAATATAGTTGCTTTAGACATTGTTTCATATGTAAAAAATTAGTCGCAGGGTTCACCATCAAAGATAACTAAGATTTCACAATCACTGTCAAGTTCTTCAATAATAATGGCTTCACTAGAATGATTTGGGTGTTTCCTCTTTTGATTAGTAGTTTTTTTCTTATTCCTGTTTTGCATTTTGAAATAATGTGATTTAATGTGCCCTTTATTCTTATTGTAATTACAGATATTATCATTATTTTTGAATTTTTGATATATCCTTCATATCAGCACCAGAACTCATCTATGGAGTTCTCTCTCGAATAACAAGGTCTTCTCCTTGAACATCAAATTCATTCACATGTTATTTCTTCTCTTTAGGGAATATAGCACATAAACCTCATGTAGAACAAGTTTCTCTTGACCGTGATCTCTAAGCATTGCATATAATGAAGGTAACGAACATAACAAGCTTGACATCAATTCTTTTTTCTTCATATTTAACATTCTCGGTTTTTTAAGTTGTAAATAATTTTTTTAAGAGTATTTAAGTGATCTACAAATGTTGCACCTTCTATCATTCAATGAGAATGCAAATATTGTTGTAGATGCAACTTTATGTAGAAACTTTTTGTTACGCACAACTATTCTAATTTTATTCATAAGGAAACGACAGTCTTCTTATAAACATTTTGTAATATCTAATTCGATTAATGAAGATGAATTTGAGATAATGTCTTTTGATCATTGCATTATTTCTCCTTTGACGTTCACTATAAGGGCCCTCATCAAATCCTAACAGTGAGTCATCTGGATTTATGTGCTTCAAAATGGTCAATATCTTAACCTAGAAACACAAAAATCTGGTGTTGTGATCCAAAAGGGGATGTCAATACTTCATTTTTTCCATCACCAAGATCATAAAATTTCGCTCTAATATCATTCGTTATCAAATAAAGTGGATTAAGAACAACAAAATAAAAGATAACACAAAATTTATATGAAATTCCATGAAAGGAAAAGTCATGGGTAAAGAAGGAGAATTTACTCTATCAAAGAATGTCATAAGTGAAGAGTGTTGATTCACATAAACATAATTGCAATCTAAAGACTATTAAATATTAATTTAACGATATAAGCCTTCAGTTTTCCTGCTCATAATTTCTTAACAAGACAAGCGAGACTAATAGAATTTGGATCACAAATTTTAACACATATGTTAACCCTATCATCTATAATTGTGATTTTGACATTATAAAAAATAACAGTTACATAACTTCTAACATAATTTACTACATATAGTTACTTTTTTACTTGATCCAAGATCAGAGTGTGACATGTGGATGTTATTTATTCGGAATAATGCCAAGGAGGAATTTAAAACATCAAACTGTACTATAAAACCTTTGGCAGTACTTTTGAATTCCGGATGGCTTCGGTGCAGGCCCTTTTCAGTATAAAAGTGCTTGTGAAAACCGGATACGTTTTGATGCGGGAGCATCCTTGTTCCCGTTTTGACGATATATGCTACAGTCCTGCGACTGATACACAAAGTGAACCTAATGTGGAGCCCTCTCAGCGACTTGGCACCATCTAAACATGGAATTGAGAGGCGACTGGCCTTATGTGGATATGGCGCCCCATTTCAACAGTGGACCTAATCCTAAATACCCAGGGCTTATATATTTGATTCATGTTTTTAGGTTTTCAGTCTTTTGTATGTTTTGTTTAAGATGACCGCCATCGTTTGTTCTCCCTTTGATGGTTGTATCCAAGGAATTGGTGATGCTCCAACTGTATCTCTCTTGAGGTGGTGATTATCTTCTCAATCCCCTTTCATTGTTGCAACCACCCTGATGTTTCTCACTACAACCTTCCCATTTTAGCCCTTCTTGCTCGCTGCCACTGTCCCAGACAGTCACCCCTTGCTGTCCTACAGTACCCCGCTCCGCCCCTTCATTTTTGTCATCCAAAAAACAACAAACCTGTTGTTTTCCCATTGTTCCCTTGCGGTTCCAGCCATTCCACTACGCCTCGTTGCTTCGCTTGCAACCCCACTTGTTGCCCTCACTATCCTAGCCCTTCGCTTCACTGCCAATGTCATTCCAACCCTTTTTTTTATTGTCCCAACCGCCACCAACCCATTTTAGCCACCTAGTTCCGCTCTCCGACCACCTAGTCGACCTCCACCACCCATGGATCGAGCTTTAGTGTGAGTTTGTGTCGTATTTGCTGTAATTTCTCTTTCAAGTGTTTGGTTGTAATTGCTTATTTGCTTTCAATCATAATATTTGCTTTTCTATTGTAGTTTGGGTTAACTTGGTACCATTTTATATCAGAGCCAGCCTAATCATAGTCATATCCTAGATTTTCTACCATCTGCCAATACTCAACTCTTATCTTCTACAAAAAAAATTCTTTCACATGCTACATCACCTCTACACGCACATTTAGTCCTCATGCCCTAAAATCCTAGCCATGCCGCTTATGAGAAATTCATAAATGCATGTTTAAGTACTTGATCATGGAAAAGGTGCAACAAAAAAATCCTCCAAGTACAATAGAGGCCTGTCTCCGTCAAAGGGGAGAGAATCTGGATTGGTCACCCGTAGCTAACTGTGACTTGTTAGATTGAAGGAATGGAGTGAATCTCTTCCGCTATGTTGATTTCAGGAATGAAGAATCTCTACCTTGAAGATTTGACATGAAATATCAGAGAAGTCATAATTTTAAAGTAATGGTGGATTTGCCACATTTTGATGGTCAATTGTATTTGGACGGGATCATCAAGTGACTTCAGACTGTGTAACTTTTCTTTGAGTAACAGGAAGTCCCATCAGACTGAATGGTGAAAATAGTCGTTAGTAAGTTAAAGAATTATGCATTATTTTGGTGAAAAATTTTGAAGCAACTACGCCGACATGAGGGAAAAGACAATATCATTACCCGGTCCAAGTTGAAATTGGAGATATATTGTCAATACTTATCACTCACTATAGATCAGATGTTCACACTGCAGCTTCAAAAGTGGAGAGACACATCACTGGATGATCGCCGCACCTTACAGACAGACTTCAACCATGGGATTGAGCCGTAAGAGTACATCAAGGGGAATATCCAAGCTCCCGCTTGAGTACAAACTAATTCAGACTAGAGACTAGATGAAGCCAATCTGTATTCCCAAATCCGTTCAAGCCAGGAAGTGTTTCAAGTGTCACGACTTTGGGCATACCTAATTAGATTGCACAACCAGGAGAATGATCTCTTTCACTTATCAGGGAGCAATTGAAGAAATAATCAGTGATTTAGGAGCATAAGAAGATTTCAGAGTGGATTCTCAACTTCCAACCGATGAAGAATAGATGCTAGCAACCCCAGCTGACGTAACTGTAATTGTTCAAGTAGTGAGTATGAAAAAATGGGCGTTTATGCAGAGTATGAGATTTTGGTGCCTCTAACCATCATTTTAGAGGAGTGGAGAGGAGCATTAATATGACTGACATTTGAAGTTCAAAAAGGCCGTGAGTTTGGGGAATCCAAATCAGAGGCATGGTAACCCCAGATAAGAAAAATTCATATTTTTCAGACATATAGACTATCTCCAGAGTTGCCGCTGTTAAGGGAGGTCAAATATATCAGAGGTGTGAAGCTTTTAAGCTACTTCTAGAATATTATATGGAGTCCTTTGGGTAGTAAAATCGGTTCACCAATTTACCCCCCAAAAGATGGTATGATCGAGGAACTATAGTGAGGGAAATTGCCTTAAGATTTTTAAGGAGAAGAAATTCTTCAATGGGATCCAGGTCCTTCCAGAGAAGAAGAGATCTCTTCTGAGTGGTTTCTTGTGAGAGTGGCGGAGTCTGTCATAGAATTTGTCCCTGAATTGATTCTCACATACTTGTTTATCTGATACATCTAGTCGAGTACGAGGAGTGGGAGAAGCTAATTATATATTTACTTGCTCGTGATCCGACTCATGAGAATCGATGTCGTTATGCAGCTCTAACTCAAGTTGTGTCAATAATAGATACTTATTTTATGTGGGTTATAATTGGAATGACAACGCCTACAGAATTGACCTACTGGGAGCTTGCAACATTTCCACTACCTTCAAGTGGTCGACCTAATTGTTTGAGAAAACAAAAGCTTCAAATGATGAGGTCGAAGCTCCCTCATTCTCGGGAGACTAACGCGGGAGTGTGTCTGTTCTCGTTTCCAAGACATATGCTACAGTCTCATGACCGATCCGCGAACTTGACCACTCGCGAAACCCTCCCAACGACTTGAAGCCAGTTTAGAACATCGAATTGAGGGCTGACCGACCTTCCGGCGCCTCCTTTCAATAGTGGTCCCAATCTTAATTAGCTTGTGCTTATATATTTGATTCATGTGTTTAAGTTCTTTGTTTTTTGTGTATTTTATTTAGGGTAGCCTCTTGTGTCCGTTCTTCTCCCTTCGAGGGCTATATTCAAGGGATTGTATGGTGCTCGGGCTGTATTTCTCTCTTGATGTGGTGATTATCTTCCCGATCCCTTTCTGCATCTTCCCAATGATGCTCCCTGCAATCCACTATTGCTGCAGCCGCCCCAGACAGCATTTGTTTGCTCTTTTCACTGAAGTCTTCCCATTCCTTCTTGCTGCCACTGCCCTTGACAGCCGCCCCTTGTTGTCCTTTAGCCCCCCCGCTTAGTCCCTTCACTGCCTTCACCCGGAAAACATCAAATTTGCTGTTTTCCTGCTGTCCCCTAGCTGTTTCATCCTTTCCCACCGCACCTCACCGCTCCACTTGCCATCCCAGTTGCTGCCCTCGTTGTCCCTGCCCTTCACTTTGCTGCCAACGTGATTCCAGCCCCTCCTTTTACTTTCCCAATCGCCCCCAACCCATTTCAGCCACCAACCGCTGCTCCCCGACCACCTAGATGACCTCCATGATTGCTCTAGTATGAGTTTGACTTTTTTATTTTTTGTAATTTCCCTATCAATTGTGTTTGATTCTAACCATTTTTTTGTTTTTGGTAATAATATTTATTTTATTGTGGCTTGTGTTTAATCCGGTATCACATTTCCTCCAACGGTAAATTTTTTCTGTTATTAGACAGGCGTCCAGAATTTTTTAGCATCCCAGTTATTTCCAACATGCTGTTTCTTTCTGAAATATGATTTTCATAATATCGAATGATGTTCAATATGCTGTGCTTGTTTTTTTAATTATTTTGTAATACGATTTTTTAAGGGTGCTGGTTTGACCAAAAACCAAAATACTCACTCTTTTAAATTTCGTATGTTTGTGCAGGATGGCATGCATATTTCTGGTTATCTTTCTTGCCCTTGATCGTAAGTATAAGGAATGGAATATCAGCCTTTTATTTAATTGAGCTTTAATGTCCAGAAGTCCATATTCATAAAAAACTATTATACGTATTCCATAAAAACACTGATATCCTTATTCTCTCTTTTTTCTAACTTTGTAGAGGCCTAAAAATACCAGAAAAAGAATGACTGAATTCTACATTTTACTTTTGAGTGACTTTTATTATGTTTTTTTCTTGTTAGTCTGTGGTTTGAAACATTTGGATTGTGTTTGTAGTTGCATGTAATTAGGTTGAAGCGCTCATATTAGGGCTTTGTAGAGAGGATTTTTTGTTTGCAGTTAGAAGAGCCAAATAATTTCTTGGAATGTTTGACATGTTCCAGCATAACATTCAAGAAAAATGGCATATGTATAATAGGAGTCAAGCTTGTTAAAATTCTGTTTCAATAGCCATGCAATGCAAAGAACCCGCATTACGGGTCTTTCTCATGTGCCATGCGTTAGCGAAGTTGTGGTGTCCCTTCATTCAACACTAAAGTTCTCGCATCAGATGCCCACGTGTTATTGGCTCTGCAGTTTTTCATCGCACTCATTTCAGTCCAGTTCAGCCTATTCTGGTTCAATTAATAATATAAATTTTCCCTCACCTTAAACCGGTGCACCCCTGGATGATCATGACCAGTCACAAACCTTCGTTTACTTAACCTCCACTCCTTGATTTTGACCTTTTCCAGCATGTGTTGCTGCCACAGTGAAGGCGAGTCAGACACAAAACACGTGCTTCTTCTTCCATAGTGATGCTTCGCTTAAATCCTTTGTGCCCAAATGATCACAATTTAGAAGTAAAGCAGCTGGGTTTTAGAACTTAAAAGTCATGAAGGTGCAGCCGCAGAATTCAGCATTTGGGGACGGTGACTTCTTGTCATTTTCAAATTTAAGTTGTTTTATATAAGCTTGCAATCTCCCTCTAAGATAAAGATTTGTAGTTTTTGTAAGTTGCCTTGGTGGAATAAATGTTTCTGTTGGGGTTTCTTCCTTCTTGGTTTTAGAGTATCCAAAGATTAGATGGCCATCTGTTTGTAAGTTTGGTAGCGGGGATTGGGCAAGATTTAAGTTTAATCACATCAAACATAAAAAATGACGAGTTTAAATGGGTGTGGTGAATCTCGCCTGTAAAATTTGGTAAACTCAGCCACTAGATTGGCTTTAGCTTAAACGTGCAAGTAGGTTGTAAATGAGCTAATGCACTTGATAAACAACTCAAACTCTGTAACACCTAAAATTTAAGAAATCAGGTAAAAATTCAGTAATTTTAAAATGTATCCTAAATTTCACATCCCCCGAAATTTAATCAAAGCAATTTTATAAAATTGTGTATCAAACCAATCAAATCGATATAAAACATTATATATGAATTATGATCGGAATTGAAGATATAAAAATAATAAGATATTGAGTTAATTATCTTAATTAAATCATTAATTTTGCCTCCTTACTGTTCCAAACTGCCATTTCACGCATTTTTCGACTGTAGGATAGATAGGATGGTTGAAATCCAAGAGGGGTCACCTTAAGTGCCTCTCTCCCTTCATATCTCTATATAGCTTTCGGTTTCGCGAGCCTAGGGTATTATGCGATCGGCTACTTTAGTAGATGGGAGTTGCGCTAACGATAATCCAAAACCTCCAAGGAGAATTTGGTGAGTAGGAAACCCTCTTTCATGCTATTTCAAATCTTTTTTTTCTTTCTTACACTTTTATTTTGGCGTATACCATGAATTTATGCACTTTTGCATTTTCGGTAGCTGCAGCGGAGACGAACTTGTGTCGGAAGCAACGAACTTGATTTGTTGAACTTCGTAAGGATTTTTAGCACGTAACCAGCAAGGTTATGGGAATAAGAAGAATAAGCAAGATTGGAGAAGGGCTAGTTATGTTGAAAAGTTCGTTTGAGGTAAGATTTTGTACTTGAGTTAAGTTTTGGGTTAAATTACAAAATGAGTCAAAATTCCATGTACTCCTAAGATGCTTATGATTTTCATGTTGTTTACATGATGTGGTGAGCTCGAGACGAGCATATGGAAAGTCATCTTATGGCTCTGTCTAGTTAGGTGAAATAATCATGTGCTAAACTAAGGAAAGCAATTATGTAGGTCTTCATGTAATTCCATGTTTGATACTGTAGCATTTAGAATTTCTTATATGTTATGGATGAATATCTGCATTGAATGTATGAATGCAAATTTATTTTTACTTTACGATACATGTGATTTTGCTATGATATTTGCGGGCATTCTTTTGTTATGATTCATGTCTATGATATATGAAATGCCCAATGAACGTTTGTTACGAGAATTATGCTTTAAGAAATATCATAAATGATGTTATAGGTAGACTATTACTTGAGTATTTGCAAGTATAGATGATATGGATATGGGGGTTCTCGACTTCTAGTATTCAGGAGGTGACAAAACTCAAAGAACTGTTGGGATCAGACGAAAAAACGGAGCGTCGGGAACCTTTGGTGCCATGCGCTATTGATAATTGCTATGGGGGTAACCTTTATCAATAGCAAATGTAATCTGCGGGCTGATTGACAGCCCAATTATATAACATGACATAGAAATAGTTGGGTCTATACAATTATAAGTGACATTGTTATGGTTAGATTGATGATTCTTATGAACATGCTTATGATTTCATGCTTATGACTACAAATGATTGAATGATATGTTTTATACAACATTCATAATGTTTTACACTATCTGTTTTTCTTTTACATATTTTATACAATTCTAGCATGTTGTGTCTTGTGGTGGACATGTACAATTTCATACGAGCATGCACATTATTTATTTTCCGTGTATAATTCTTATTTTAGCTTGATTATTTTGTTAAGCTCGTTGTTGCTCACTCTATGTTGTTGACTTACAAGAAGGGGTAAGGAGCACCAGGGCGAGTAGCTAGGTGTGATGTCACACTCCAATTGCCCCCTTAGGCCGAAATGCGACAAAGATGGACAATTTTGTCAAACTAAATTATCACCAACACCCATTCTGACTTACAGAATTAGGACCTAGTCAATGATGAACTAGTTTAACTATATTTCTAGAAATATATTTGATACAATTCATTTCATTAATTTTCACATATACTCGGAAGCATGAAAAATCATATCACCCTAGTGCTTCTTACCCCTTCTTAAATGTTGTACAAGTTATGCCTGACTGCTCGCCCTGGTGCTTCTTTCTCCTTCTTAAATGTAAACAACGAAGAGTAAGCAACAATGAACTCGACAAAATAATCAAGGTTAAAATAAAATTTTATATACGGAAAAGAAACATTGTGCATGCTCGTAAGTAACTGTACATATTCATACACAAGTCATAACATACTAAGATTGTATAAGATATATAGTGTAGAAAGTCGTGATTGTTGTATAAAAACGTGTATTTCATTTCATTCGTGTGTAGTCATAACATATATTTATGAACATGTTCATAATCATAACAATGTCATTATAACAATATCATCATGGCCATACAATCATAACATCATAGCAATGCACTTGTGTAATGTATAAGCCTCTATTATTTTCATATATTGTCATATCATGAGTCGTCCTCCTGCCCCAAAGGACATATTAACTATTAATAAATGTGAAGTCTCTCAAATATAGCAGTTATGAATAAGCCCCCTAATTCTAAAGGTTTTTTTATGTTTTGTCAACGTCTGATCACAACTGTTCCCAGAATTCATTAGAGTCTAAACACTCAAATTTGGGATTACCTTATCCCTACATGTGTACTTACAAGCAATCATGTATTAATATGCCCATAACATCACTCGTGAATTGTGACATTTAAATCTTCATCCTTATATAACCATTCATTACAGGAATTTCATGTATCATGTTTGAATCATAGCAAATGAATACCTGTAAGCAATGATTTTATAAGCATATTCATTGTATTATAGCATAGCATAACATCACATGTATTGTAAGAAAAGTCAACTTGTATTCATACATTCAATACATGTATCCATCCACAATATGCAAAAAAATTTAAATGCATAAGTGTCAAACGTTGAATCACAAGAAAAGTTATGGATAATTATTTTTCTTAAGTTAGCATGAGATTATTTCATCCGACTACACGCAAAGGTTTGTCACCTTGATGCAGCTCGCCTCGTGTAAACAACATGGTCATCATAAGCATCGTAGAAATTCATAAAATCTAGGCTCATATCGTGATTTAACCCAAAATTTAACTCATTTGTCAAAACATACCTCAAACGGGCTTCTCGACATAAATCCACCTATTCGATATTGTCTATTCTTCTTTCCTCTTCTTCTTATTGCCTTAATCTTACTTTTCTCTCGTTCATCTCATGTTAGAAGCCCTTATAGAGTCTCACAAATCAATTTCGACGCATGTTAAGTCCACCGGAAACGAATAAATGCATAAATTCTTGGCAAACATCAAAATAGAAACAAGATTAAGGAAAGGAATATCTTAAGTATCATGAAAGGATTTTTCGTACTTACCAAAATCTCCCCGGAAGCCCTTACCGCGCGCTACGACTCCTTGGCATGCTGCACGCTCTCCCTATTCGCTCTCAGATATAGTAACCCAGGCAGAATTCCTTCGCATGAGGAAGATTCAGGAAGTAAACATGCAACACTTAAGTATCCTCCCCTTATTCACAGTTGTATGATCACATCACATCAAATCATTACATATTGTGTAATGTGTGGGGATCGGTTGGCTACAGTGAGGGATACGAGAGATTAGGAATGTAATTAATGTTAATTAAGGTTTTTTAATTAAGTTAATTATATTTATATCTTAAAAATTTTATATCTCTCAATCCAAACATAATTACTATTTAGTGCTATATATCGATTTGATCAATTTGAAGTGTAGAATTTCTTAAAACCGATTCAATTAAATTTCAGGGATATGAAGTTTTAAGTATATTTTAAAATTGTCGAACTTTACCTTGTTTTTCAAATTTTGGGTGCTACATGTGATTTGTAAAGCTTTTACATTTTGTAGTTTTGTGAGCTTGTATAGATATTTTGGTACGTACTTTTATTATATTGGATGTAACAATTTGGTATAATTTATATATTAATGATATGATTTTCACGTTTCCAAGTATGAGAATATGAATGGATTATGAAATGATTGTATTGAGTATGTTATGACGGTTTAGTTAGACTTCTACATAACCCATTGAGTCATGATTCTGCTGGTCGGGACGGTTGTTGATGAGAATTTAGTCTAGTCAAATTGTCCGCCTCTGTCGCACCTCAGCCGACCCTTAAGAGGGGCCAGTTGGGGTGTGACATCAAGTTTATTGGATAAAAAGAGTAATAGAAGCATGTTGATTTTCGAAGAACTAAGAATGATTTCAAATATGAATTCACTTATACAAAGTTATTGGTTGATAAATATAGGGTGGATAACCCATACGACTTGAAATGTTATGCATGCACGATATAATTATTAGCTGTTCACGATCGCTTTTGTTAATCCCATATACACCCCAATCTTTTTTAAAGGATTCAAATTTTATAAATATACATTCATTCAGTTTTTTTTTTCTTTTTTCTTTTTTCCTTTTTGCTCTGTTCGTGTAGGAGAGAGCACCTGAATTACTCTGAGTACCGAACTTTTGATTTCATTCCATACCCATAAAAGTAATCATTTTTGTACCTTTGGAAATTCTCTTTTGACTATTCATGAGTCTAATTTTGACTTTTGGAGTTTTAAAACTCCTATGAGTTGTTTTCTTGCCTTTGTGAGTCCTCTGCGAGCCGTCTGGTGAATAGTGGATTAAACATGTCAATGTCTAACTACCTCTGATTTCATCTGCAACAAATCTTTTTTTTAATTCATTAGATGCAATCTAAAATGTTTTTACTCCTTTTCCACGGAGATCAATGTTCTAGATCAATTTTGAAGCTAATTCCAAATGCATTCTGATTACTCTCTCAGCTTGTTCTAACTGTTGGAGCGAAACTCGAGCATATCATCACCCGGCTCGCCATTAAGTTTGCCGAGACGCATACAGATGGCCAAGGACGTCAGGTGAAGCCTTCCGACGAACACTTTTGGTTCAAGCAGCCAAGCTTCATTCTCTATTTGATTCACTTCATTCTGTTTCAAAACTCGTTTGAAATCGCATTTCTTTTCTGGATCATTGTAAGCACTTGGACACTTTTTCGTCTTTCCATTCATCGGATTAGTCGATGGATCTAAGTTTCTCTCTTTAAATCTGCAGAGTACTTATGGCTTTCACTCCTGTATTCTTGAAGGTGTTGGCCATGTCATCCCCAGGCTTGCTGTTGGGTACTTATGGGAACCTGCTTTATATTATTCTTGTAGTAGTTTATATATATGTATTAAGTGATTACTGAAATGGGATTGCTCTGCAGTGTGATTGTTCAAGTACTGTGCAGTTACAGTACGCTTCCACTGTATGCTATTGTCACACAGGTAAATCACATTTACACTTTGGAAAATTTACATTCCACTCAATTCTTGTGAATTTAAATGTCACACCTAAACTTCAATTTCTACATATATGTCATTTCTCCTGTGCATGTAAAGTTTTATTTCACTCTTTAAAAGTTAAAATGGTGGTATGTTTTGATGGGATAAAAAATATTTCAGTGGTATAAATGTAAATGTAAAATTTTGGTGTTAGATATGTAAATTTGTAAGAATAGGTGGTATGTATGTAAATGCCCCTTACATTATTGCTTTATATCTTAGCTCATCTTGGTTGTCGTTACTGAAGTCTAAATGGATGAGAGAGTGATAGTTCGGTTGACCAAATTGTGATTTATATTTCTCAGTTGGAAACAAGCTTTTTTTAATGCAGCAATGAGTGCATAAATCAATCATTTTGAAGAGATTAGGGCGTGAACGAGCAATTTGTATATGATTTAATCCTGGATCAAAGTCAGCTCCGCATAAATTAGTCAGCTCAAAGTTAACCTGTTCTTCGAACTGACTTTAATTTAGGGGCCATTTACGTACATACCACTCAATTGCTATATACTTACATATCTACTATATAAATTTTACTTTTTTACATTTATGCCACCCAAATCTTTCATATCACATCAAAAATATCTTTTTTTTGAACTTTTAAGATGTGAAATAGACATTTGCATTGATAGGAAATGTGGTGTGTGTGTGTGTGTGTATCTAAAAAATAAAATTTTGGTGTTAAATATGTAAATTTATTAGAATTGAGTGGTATGTATGTAAATCTTCTTTTATTTTATGCTAACTCAGCTTGACTCAATTCACTTAGGAGCCTTCACAAATCTAAACCGAGCCTATTAAAACTAAGTAAATTTTTTCCTTATTAGATTAATCGCTATTCCTAGCCGTTATTACTTATTATTTGCGCTCATTCCATGATTATGTATTTTCTATTTTTTTATTCTATTATATTTTCTTTTATACTTATTCAATTTTTGTTTCTTTCCTGTATTATGTTTATTGTAATTGTGTTTAAATATCCCTCATATCAATAATATTTGTGCTAGTCTATTTCAAATCTAAACATGGTTTTAGAGACTAAACTTAGATCTAGTAGCTCCTGGCCTTCTTTGCCGGTTCCAACAGCAGCAGCCTCCACCTCATTCACCTAGCCGACGCCTTCCCTGCCGGGTCCAACGAACAGCAGATTCGAGTGAACTGCAGGAATTCCAGAAGGATTCCTCCTGTTCCTGTCTGCAGGATTACCCTATTCCAACAAACTACTACGAACTTCTGCGAAGCTTCCTGCGGGTTCCTGTTCGTCATAGGTCGACAAGTTGACAAGTAATGGTGATTGCGTTACTAATTTTTCTTTTGGTGGTTGTGTTTTTTAGGACTGTCGTTCGAGGAGGATGATTAAAACTACTAAGAGGGTAGCGGAATTCTACTACTTTTAAGAGAAAAACATAAGGAGTGAAGACACGATACTTAGAAGTTTTAGCCTATCTTGAGTCATTGAATGTGTCATTATGTTGTTACATTGTCGTTTATGACATCTTAGCTTTTAATATTTAAAAATTTTATATCCTTTGATGTTTTCTAATAAAAATCTCTTTAACTTCAATTGTGAGATATGTTAATTAGCCAAGCATCACCGGGTCCATTACCCACCTTACACATACACACTTTTCGCTCCTTTCTCCCTAATTCAGAGTGACATATGGGGTTCTTCTTGAACTCACATGTACACTAATAAATGGTGGTTCTTGACCTTAATTGATGACTACACTCGAATGATGTGGGTCTACATTTTAAAGGACAAATTCAAAGTCGTTGTAACATTCCAAAACTTCAACACCTTTGTGTTAACTCAATTCAAAAACTACCATTTAGGTCCTTCAGACCCACAATGGTCATTGGTTTTTCAACTCTATTTTGAGTGAATTCTTGGTTAGTAAATGCATCATCCACCATAGTTCTTGCATGGACGCTCCTCAACAACATGGACGCTCTTCAACAAAATGGGGTAGCCGAGAGGAAATATCGCTACCTTCTCGACGTTGCTCGTTCTATTTTGTTTCAATCCAATATCCTAAAATGATTTTGGAACAATGTCATTCTAAAGCTCGTTAGTCGTCCTGATGTCACACTTTTTTATCATTCAAGTCTTCTTTACATTAGATCCCAAGATGTTTGGGTGCACTGTATTTGTTCGGAACACTGCCCCTACTTGGAGTAAATTTGATCTCAGATCCATAAAATATATTGTCGTAGTATACTTCGCAACTCAAATGAGGTATTAGTGCATTGATCCGACTACCAACAAAATCCATGCGATTGTTAATGTCTTCTTTGAAAGCGTTCCCTATTTTTCTAGCTCGACTTCTAGTGAGAGAGAACTTAAGTTCTTCGACACTGCCCCTTATCCTACTTCTGTAGATGATCCTCTCATTGTATCTACCATTGCGGAGTTCCCTATCCCGTTGAATGCACCATCTCTTCCTTCCACTGTTCGTGTCTATACTCGACACACTCGTCTCAATGCTCCTACTCTAGATCCCGCTACTTCTTTACAAAACCTTGACTCCACTTCGGGCGACATTCTTAACATGACCCCTCCCTTTGAATGAGAAGGTGAGTTCTCTAAGGTACACCATCAGACATGTTCCCTCTATTCTATGCAAAATATGTATCTTTTCACAAGTCGTCGCCGGCCTACAGAGTTTTTGCTATTGCACCCACGGACCATCAGATCCCTGCTACTATTGAGGTTGCTCTTGCTGATCCAGCCTTGAAAACAAAAGCAATGCAGGAGATGAATGTCCTTCGGCGGAACCATACATGGGACGTCGTGGACCTTCCCCTGTTTTAAAAAGTTGTTGGGTGTCAATGGATTTTCAGCACTATGTTCAACTTTGATGGGTCATTTGAATGAAACAAGGCAAGATTGGTCGCCAAAGAATACTCTCAGACATATGAAGTTGACTATGAGGAGACATTTGCTCCAGCGGCTGTTAAACACTATTCGGGTCCTGTTTTCACTTGCGGTGAATCTAGTTTGGCCTTTATTCCAAACAGAAGAGGAGTACATGTCTCTCTCTCCTGGTTTTGATTATACTGCATCCAGAGGACAAGTGTTCAGGCTACAAAAGTACCTCTATAGGCTAAAGCAGTCTCCAAGTGTCTGGTTTGACAAGTTCACAAAAGTGGTTGTAGGCTATGGTTTCACTCAGTTTCAATCGGATTACACTCTCTTCTTCCGACATTCCTCCAATGACTAGATAACTTTCTTTATTGTTTATGTTGACGATATTGTTTTTACAGGTAACGATCTCTCAATATTGGAGTCCTTAAAAGACATTCTTGCCTCGTCCTTTGAGATGAGGACCTAAGATATCTCTGGTACTACTTAGACATGGAAGTAGCTCGGTTATCTCAAGAAATTTGCCTATTTTAACGCAAGTATGTGTTTAATCTCTTGACAAGAACAACCTTCTTTTGTGCCAACCTGTTGTTTTTTTAATGGATTCTAATGCAAAATCATCTAACATTCCAAATATTGTACCTGTCAGCAAGACTCATTATCAGCCTTTTGTGGGAAAACTCATCTACCTCGCTCATACTCACCCTGACGTATGCCACGCTGTTAAAATAGTGAGTCAATTCATCTGCTAAGAGCACCACCTTCAAGCTGTCCATCGAATTCTCCATCACTTAAAAGGTAAATCGGGTACAAGTTTGTTTTTCTCCAGTCACACCTCTCGGTCAATTGCGATTTATATAGATGTTGATTGGGCCAGATTATTTTATGATCAATGTTTCTCCTCGAGGTATTGCTCATTTGTATGGGGCAATCTTGTTATGTGGAAAAGCGAGCAACAGTTTGTGGTTGCCTAAAGCAGTGCTGAAGTTGAATTCTGATTCATGTTTTTAGGAATCTATGAAGCTCTCTATCTACGCATCATGCTCCACGAGCTTTGTATGTCAACCCCCATCTCACTGCAACTATCCTGTAATAATAAGACCACAATCAGTATTACTTACAATCGGGTCCAGCATGATTGTACCAAACATGTGGAGATCAACAAACACTTCATTAAGGGAAAGATTGAGTCTGGGGTGATTTGCATTTCATATATGTCCTCCAATGGTAAACTTGAGGACATCCGCACGAAGAATTCGCTTCGCCCTTTGTTTGATGATTTTAAGTCCAAGTTGAACATAACTGACATCTATCCATCAATTTCAGGGGAAGTAATAGATTATAACAACCATTCCTAGCCGTTATTACTTATTATTTGTTTTTATTTCCTAATTATGTATTTCCTATTTATTTTATTCTGTTTTATTTTCTTTCCTAGTTATTTTATTCTGTTTTTATTTCTTTCATTTATAATCCATATTGAAATTAGGTCTAAATACTCCCATCAATAATATTTGTGTTGGTCTATTCCATATCTCAACAATATGTTTAGATATAATCTTTAATATTTCAAGTATTGTTGGATTGAGGTCGAAAGGCCAAATCACGATTTGAGCTTGAGCTAAGTTAAATCCTATTTAATCTAAAGCAATCTTCGATCTTCCAGCTAAACTCTCATCGCCTACTCCGATACTATATCAAACGAAACCTCTTGTAAAAAGACCATGCAATTCTCTTAATGCAGATGGGTGATTCCTACAAGCAGGCAATATTTGCTGAACATATGCAGACCACCCTCCACGGTTGGGTTGCCGGAGTAAGAAAGCGAAAGAGGTCGGGCTCCGTTCTCTCTTCTTCCATTATGAGAATACTTGGGAGGAAGAAGAAGATGAAGAAACAAGAGGAGGCTTATCAGGGCGAAGTGCAGATGCAGATGATGATGAGAAGTGAGGACTCCGGTCATCTTCATGAACTTCCAGCTTCAGAGATTGAAGCTTGTCATATTGAACCAGTTTAGTCCTCTAAACCGTGAGCTGAGTTTTTTTATATTGTTTAAAGCTTTGGATTAGCAAGATATCTTCTCAGATTTCATGATAGTCTTGTCCTAGGATGGTTACTGATAATGAGTCCTTTAATGACATAAGGAATAATGCTGTAAGGAATGAAGAACTATATCATAGTTCAAGAAAATGCATTGCATTATGAAATAAGTTTGGTATTTTGAGCTAAGTTTTTTAATTGTATACTACTTGTAAGGAAAAATGTGTGTTTTAATTGTTTTCTCATATATCTGGATTTTTTAAGAACTAAGGAATATGTTTTGTTTGAGATAAATATTGAAGGCATTGATTTTATTTTGAGATGAGTAATATGTGACTAGTCAATTGAAAATTGCATTGCATTCATTTAAAAAAAAAAGGAACAACTAAGTACATATCACTCGATTCCTATTTATTCGTCGATATAACACTCGAACTTTAATTCCTATGTATTTATATATTTGACACCTAAAGCTTTATTATTATACTTGTAAAGCCTTGATGTCAAAAAAATATGCATGAAGTGTTGCATTTAACTTTTTGATAGTCAATTATGGTGGTATCTTTTATGTGATATTAAAGATTTGAGTGATGTGCATGTAAATATGAGAGTTTAAGTACTAAATATATAAATACATAAAAATTGTAGTATGAATGTAAATGCCCTTAAAGAGAATTTAAAAAATAAGTTAAAGAGGATGTTAACTTATAAATAACCTTTAAAAGTGGTATACAGTTCTTTGGTTAAAAAGTGACTATCAAGATCATCGTAAATCTAAAACTCTAGAATATCAAGAAAACATCAATCGATGAATTTCACCCCAATTGGATGGTAATGATAGGTGATGGTGTGCAACTACAAGACAAGTGAAATGCTCGAGGTTAGCCAACTGACACCGACTATCGAGGTCGAGCATTCCTAGGTCAAATAACTGATGCTAGGTGACTAGTGATTGAGATGTTATAGGCAAGCATCCAAGATAAGTGAGCGGTCTAATATCCCGCAGACAAATATTAATAGCTGACTAGTCGTGATTGAATGACTCATTTTAATGTCTCTAAGACTCTAGCTAAGAGCAACTTCTCTCGAGATCATAGGCTATAACGGTACGATTGTCAAAGAGTTGGGTGACACACTCAAGAATTATGGCGGGAAAATCCCAACTGCGTTTTTGCATGGGAGCCAACCACTATAAATAGGGGGAATTATATATAATGGATGCCTCTTTGAATCCTTCTTTTCAGGAAGGACGAAGTCTCAATATAAAAGTGTTTTTCACTGATCTCTCTTCCCTTCATTTATTTTTTTTTCTCTTAATCCTCAAACACCTTTCTCTCTCCTTGTTTACACTATTTCCTGGGAGTGATTTAAGAAAAAACTTGAGTTGAACACCCTGAATAGGTGAGGTGAGACGGATCTTGCCTTTAACAAGAAGAGGAAAAGCACGAGGAGAACAAAGCCATCATGAAATCATGGAGACATGGAGTGCACCTGACACCTTGTAACCCAGAAAACTCAAAAACACAAGGAGCAAATGGAGATTTTCAAAGAAACGATTGCCAGGAAGGCAGCTTCACCTTCACACCCAGGATCTCCTATAGACCCTAGAAGATCTGGCACTAACGCTAAGAGGGCCTCGTTGTCGGCTTTAAGCATGAGTGATAATTGTACTACCCCTACAATGTGAGATAAGCACCCCCCAAGTTTGTGATATGCAAGTACACATAAATACCATATGGCCCACGCCTTTATAGAAAGCCTTCTCTCGAGAGATCTTCGAAGCTAAGGCACTTGAACACTTCGAGATCCCAACTCTTGAACCTTACGAAGGAAATTTTGACTTATGATCACAATGCCTCTGAAGTCCATGGTATGTCTTCTGAGGATAGAAGATTCATTGAAGTGTCAACACTTCTTAAGATCCCAACTCTTGAACCTTATGAAGGAAATTTTGACTTATGATCACAATGCCTCTTTGAAGTCCATGGTATGTCTTCCGAGGATAGAAGATTCATTGAAGTGTCAACACTTCTTCTTGACTCTCAGAATCTGCCCTTCGATGGTTCAAAAGCCTATTATGGGTGTAATTAGACAATTTTCAGAATTCATAAGAATGTTTTTAGTGTCGTTCTTTATTCCACAAAAGCACTAGAAGAACTCTTAGGCAATATTGCAGCCGCAACAGGAACACAGAGAGTCCATGAGTGCATTTATAGCTTGTTTCCAATAGATGTTGTAGGTATGAGACCTGGAGCCCACAGTTGCCCTTGCTTCCCTCGCTCAGAGACTAATAGAAGGTTCTTTATGTTATGCGTTGGGTCTGCAACGTCTAAAAAAGTTGTTAGAATTCACCAACAATCACATATTGGCATAAAAATATGTCACCCTCGATCCTTTAAAGGACTGAATAACCTCAACATTCTTCATTGAAGAGGAGCTTCTGCAGGGGCCGATGGAAACATAGTTGCACTCTTGTCAATCACCGTATACTTCCTTTCCCAGATAAATCTCTATTCTGGATCATATGAATGATCAGGAGAAGAGAGAAACTGAAAAAGAAGGGACACACAACAATGATGACAATCATGAGAAAAGAGAGACTTGAAGAGCCTAGTGCGAAAAATATCACAAGGAAAGGTCAAGCATGTCTGTCCAAACAAGATTGGGCAGAGGAACCTGAGACCAATATCCGCAAAAGAATACCTATGTAGACTACCATAACGAGAGTTTCAAGTGTATGTATCTGTTCTGAGGTCAAGAGCACTCCTAAGCAGACATATCTCACTTGGTTAATTACATCTTGGGGGATACTCAAGAATGCTCTCGTTAAAAGGGGTTTCGATTCCATTGTCATAGACCTGAGAAACTAGGTTATCAAAGTAATTTTATTCCTTATAGGAATGTCCTGATGCTTCAAAGTTTTTGCTAAGTCATCGGGCAGAGAGTGAGTCTCTCACATCCTAAATGGGAAGAGGCTCATCGTCGTGTGGGGCCCACAGAATAACCAAAATCATCTTGATGGGGATATCCTAATACGTCAAAGCACGTCTGGGCCATTAGGGCAGAGGACAAATTTTCGTATCCCATAGAGGCATCAGCATCGGGTCGTCAAAATGATATCGAAAAGTCAAAAGGAGTGATAAGGCTCAATAGGGGTAATCAAAGGAAGGGAAGAGTAGTCCCAAAAGGTAGAGGTAGTTGGGTCAGAGTACCACAATCCCGTCATCTCAAGCCACTAGGACCTTGTCATCTGATCGTGAAGGTTATCGACATAACTAGTCCAGAGATCCCCGATCAACAATTCGTGAATTGCGTCATCCATAAGGACCTCGGTAGCCCTAAGGTCAGAGAAACAAAACTTTGTCTTATGATTATCGATTAGAGCTCCAAGAGGTGAGACTTATACCAGCCGAAGTGGCAATGATGCCTCAAGAAAAGAGGAAAAGTAGAGGTTCAGCTACAAAGTTGGAAACACTCCCAACAAAGGAACTTACACCCCATATGAGTCGGGGAGTCTTCTAACACACTAGGCGCACTAGTCAACATCATATGTAGAAAGATATGTTGGGTATGTCAGGTTGGAGAAGCTTTGGGGCTTTTCCTCGAGACATGTAGTATGAATGTAGTTATCTAGAGCGAACCTTAATGAAAGTGGAGGCCCTATTAATATGACTTGGTTTATAACCATGTAATGCAGCCCGTTTAATATCTGTCCTGAAGGCCATGCAGGAAAGTAAAAAAGAGATTCTTAAAATCCAGAATATTTTAATCCTAAAAGTTCATTTATTTTTAATATTTTATTAAGATTTCACATAAAACTTTAGAATTTTTAAATCCTAAAGAGCTTATATTGCAATCGTGATTCTTAAAACAAACCACAGAAATAAACAAGAAAAAATTTCAAGCATTCAAGCATGCAACAAAGCAGAAAACAAGCAAAATCAAATAAATAAGAAATGTCAGTGTTGTTGGGTCGTCAACATATCCCAAAAAAGAAAAAGACATTCGGACTCTACATATACATTTCTGGACCTAATTCTATGCATCAATATAATATACAAAATTAATATATGAGACAAGAGTTGTTGCTCGTGGTTCCTATTACATGGTTCCTGCATCAAAGTACCTCAAAATTCATGCCCATATCTTATTTCTGCTATAGAATTCTAAATAGTGCATAGAAAGAAAAAGAGAAAAGACGACCTGCACAAAAATAAAGTTAGCGGGGAAAGCCATGCAATATACAAAGAGTCGTGCCTGGTGAGGGAGTTAGGCAGCACCTGCAGGAAGAGGGTTAGTATAAATCATTACATACACCCCCTTTTATGGTATTGTGTGTGTGCACAAGTAGATATGACTCCCTGCAGAAGAACACCCTAAAAAGCTGTCAAGCATATCAAACATGCAGACACACCAAAAAACACAAAGCAAAAGAAGGATGTATGGCTAGGACAACTAAACAAGCAGAGAACAATAGCCAGATATTAAGAGACTACCTAGCACCCTAAATTTTAGCTTAACACACCATCTAACGAAAAGTATCCTAACCTACATCTAAGTGCACGGGGTAAAATATCCAGCTATCGTATGACTTTGACAGGGTTGCCACACAGACTATGTCCTAAAGATCAAAAAGATCTAAAGCATGTCACAAATGAGTGGGTGCGTTTTAAAATAAGTGGTCTCACATTGACCTAACTTATATGATTTAAAAAGTACATGAATAATAATAAATAATAAAAATATCCATTTTTATACTTTTAAAATAGTGGATCTACAATGCAAGTTTGTAACACATATGTCGCGCCTTAGAGCCATTGGATTCTTAATACAGTCGTACTCGTGTCAATCCTAATGACTTAACTCGCATTGCTCATCGGGATCGACCCGACAAGCAATGCTCATTAAGACATTGCGACTAACACGAGTGTTGGCATCAATTTTTTATGTCATGAGTGTAGAGTGTCCATCTGCATGACTCAGAATGGTCTACCTTTCGTCCATAACATCTGATAGCCAGACACCCACTAGGGACTCTTTAGCACTTGCTCGGGGCAAGTAGCTAGGGTTGACAACGACTCAACCCTACCCAGGAAAACTCTTTTTGGAAGGGTTTATTCAGGACGTGAGACATGCTTGATGCAAAAAATGGTGTTTAGAAGTCATCATACATCTGTTCTGAGCCTCCCATGATGAAAGGAAGTCACAATGT